TCTGTATTTTATCTATGCCCCCCCCCTCTAGAGGGTGGATGTTGAGGAAAAAAGTGCCCCCCCCCCCCCGTTGAGCAAAACAAAAATAGTGCTTACACAGGCTTTTAAATGGGCAATACATTTTCTCACCTTTGAAGCATTTGATTGGCTAGTGTTAATTTCGCCGGTAATCATTGCAGGTTGCCATAGGCAACATTAAATGTTATGCTTTGATATTACAGCAAGCGATGGAACACTCAACATAATACGTTATTGTTTCCTAAAGATTTCCTTCTTTATTAATAAGCAATACAAAATGTATAAATTATAGTACAGGATTTGCATATTTAGAAAAAAATACATTTCGATTAAATTATTGTTCAAAGAGAAAACTGAAGAAAGACAAAATTGTGATCACATCTGAAAATAAGCGTGGCCTTGCATGAAATATATCAACAAACTAAACATACCACATTTTAAATAACATTTTACAAATACTATTCATCTTTTAGTAAAAAAAAAAGTAATTAAAAAAAAAAAGAGAGTTAAATCTCCGTAGGCTATGGAAAGCAAGAAAATATGAATGGTGACAATGGAACATAAATGTTTACAATTATTTGACCTCAAATTATGATGATCTATAATTTTTGAGATGTAACACACTAGGAATCCAGTTCACAGAACTTATTTTCAAAATCAACTCATACTTCCTAATTTTGATTATTTAATTTTTTCTTTCTTTCAAGGATTCCTTTTTTTCCTTCTCGATGACAAGTTAAGAAAAAGTTCCAGTACTTTCATATGTCAAAATGTTATATCGTCATACTCCGCAAATTTCTTCATGGAACCTGTATATCTTTGACACAGGTGCGTACGTAGGGGGGGGGGGGTTTGGGGTTAACCCCCCCCCCCCCTTGAGTTTTTTAATGTGTATGGTTTGTGTATTTTTCTTTGGGGAAACCCCCCCTTTTGATTTTTGTTTGTTTTGTTTGTTTAATAAAAAAAATATTTAAAAAAAATTATGCCAATGGCCGACTTAAAAAAGGTGACCTTACCCCCCCCCCCCCACGGAACAAAATGTCAAATTTTCACATTTCCAAAAAAAAAGTGTCCTCTTACACCCCCCCCCCCCCCCGCTTATTCAGCGGCTGGCTGAGTCGATTTTAACCCCCCCCCCCACCCCCTTGAAAAAATCCTGTGTAGAAGGTGGCTAACTCCTGTTGACCAACTATACTCAGTAATTATTATAAACTAATAATAAGAAATTACACTGTACTCATCCAATGAGGGCAAACTCTTGTTGACATTTAACTACACAGACGAAATATGAGTTATTTATTCCCTTTTTAGGATAAACCCAGGTTGATTTGAAGAGTTTCATTCCCAAAGGAGCTAAATCCACTTTGGGTACTTCTGAGTAAATCGCCTTATTTTATTTCTCCACTTTCCCTTCAGCCATGTACCTTCATGCTGTTATATATGTTAAAGGTGTCAACCTGGACCAATAATATATGATTTAAAAAAATCTAGTTTTTTCTGATTTTTTATTAATTTTTAGATTTTTATTTTTCGTGGATTTAGCTCCTTTTGGAATGAAAAATGATATTGTACCTTAAAATTTGTGAAATTTTAGAAACCTTTCCTTTTAAATAATAACAGTGAAATCACATCTAAAAATACCTTTGGAAAAGAAAGTAAACAACATATCACTGTTTCATTCCAAAAGGAGCTAAATCCGTTTCATTCCAAAAGGAGCTAAAATCCATGTTTCATTCCAAAAGGAGCTAAATCCATAAATTTTAATAATTTAGTAAAAATCAGAAATAACTGGTAGATTTTTTTCTTATCACATAGTATTGGTCCAGGGCGACACCTTTAACATAAATAACAACATGAAGGTACATGGCTGAAGGAAAAATGGAGAAACAAAAAAGTTGATTTATCCAAAGTGGATTTAACTCCTTTTGGAATGAAACCAATTTGGATTTAGCTCCTTTTGGAATGAAACATGATATTGTAACTTAAAAATTTCATACTTCTTGGTGAAATTTTAGAATGTGATATAGTGCATTTTGTTCCCATGTAGGAAACCATTATTTTAAGACAAAAAACTCAGTTTTGGTAAAATATGGATTTAGCTCCTTTTGGAATCAAGCTCTTCATTTCCTTCTCATAAAAAAAAATGTATAGAAATAAGAGGGCAAGTCCTTGGTCATTTGGTGTCCCATACATATTGAAGAGTTCTGGACATGAATTCACAATAAATCTGTCGTTCTTCTTCGTATTTTGTCTGATCTAAGCTTCAGAATAATAAGATATACTCAAAGTTTAGATGGTAATGGTAATGTAATGGACAAAATACATCTAGCTCGGACTTTCCCAGGATTATAAACAAGTCTAGCAACCGTGTTGAGTTAACATGCACAAGAGCTCTAATGGGAAAATATATGGAAAGTGAAAAGAGAAAAGAAATGAAATGAATGAAAATTAGTGCCAGAAAATTATACTTTTACAACAGCAATGGCAAAGAGCTAAAAATGAACAAAAGAAGTAAATGCACAAAAGAATTCACCTTTTTTGGACCACAGTGTTTTTCCAAAAGAGATCATTTTTTATATGATTTTATTTCATTCAAAATACATATATAATCATATTATAATATAAATCAATTAAATAAGTATACCTTTAAAAAGAAACACCACAGAGTTGAAAAATCATTTCAAAATTGAAAAATGCTGGAGACTGCCATCTTAAGCTAGAGCTTGATGGTGGCCGCAGGAAAGGAAACTATACGGGCGACCAAAGGACCAAAAGACTTAGGCATGATTACAGGCTATCTCTCATCTTTACAAAACTACATTAAACGGAACAAAGTGCCAACAGAATTGTTGATGATATAAGGACCGTCATTCATGTGTGCTTTAATATTTATAATTTGTCCTTTGCAAAATTGGACTACTGTCAACAAGCAATGAACTTTCATGATTACATGGGACAAATCAAAATCGAGGTCGAAATCTGTAAGAGATATTCACACTATATAGTGTAAAGGAAAACATGATAAGATGAATACAGAACTCAACTCAATTTTTTTCAAGTAGGCCCCCAAAAGAAATTATGCAAGTGTGTGGACTTGTCTCTTTGCAAATCACTTTCTATTTCATTTTAATATGGCAAGATATTAACCTGCACTTGCTACTCTCCACCCAGGTGTCGAATGGGTACCCGGTAGGATGCGGCCGTCATTGTTGGTCAAACAGTTTTTGAGCGTCAAGTAACGCCTGGCAGGAATACTCCCCAGGGAGTGGAGATTGTGCACACATTGTGTCAGGCTAGCACTGAATCCAATGACCGGGGTAATAGTATATTTGTAAAGCGCTTAGAGACATTTGTATTATTAAGCGCTATATAAAAAATAAATATTATTATTATTATTATTAATAATACCTTTGAAACAGAAGTAATAATACCTTTGGAACAGAAGTAATATTTTACAGCTCATAAATACAAAGTACCAGCATGCAGATGAAACAGAATGATAAATTTTGAAAGTCCTGACCCAAGTTCAAAGTGTCTTAAAGAATGGTTCTGGGCCAGTATTCAATTCAATACTTGAATTTTGCCAGTATTTCAGTTGGCATCAAGCTTGGCTAGGTAAAATGGCTAACATCTTTTTCCAGATCACATATGAGTATTTTACTTTAGTAAGTCAACTTTAAGCTGAAGCACTTACTGATAGTCATGGTGTTGTTGCATACCGTAGCCAATAAACAATATAAGTCGGGTCAATTTATCAAAAGGTATCCTATTAGCTTAAAAGGTGTCACATGACACTCAACGAGCATGCAATATAACATTTTTTGCACGGTAACAAGCGTATAAAAGTGAATTAGACTTCGCACGTCTCTTCCCTGCGCATACCCATTGTTAGCATTGTCTTATCTGTACACATCTGACGCAAGAGGGCACGACTTCAATGGAGAAATGTATGAGATCACAAATACTTTCAATTTAATATACTAAATATTAAGTGCATTCCTTGTTTAATATAACATATATGAACAAATTTAGAATTCCCCTCATACCATTATATTTCAACTGTTGTTGGGTTTTATAATTTCATATATTGAAAGCCGGAACATGCAATATTTGTATAATCTGACGCAAATGCAGACTGAATGTATTTGAGAGGGCACAACTTCAATGGAGAAATGTATGAGATCACAAATATACTTTCACTGTAATATCCTAAATATTAAGTGCATTCCTTGTTTTAACATATATGACCATAATTATTTATACTTCCCCTCATACCATTATATTTCAACCTCCTTCTTGGTTTATATAATTTCATACATTGAAAGCCCAAACATGCAATATTTGTATAATCTAACATTAACACAATGCATTAATTTCCTTGTGTGCGAAGCTTACTATGACCTGCATTATCATATGAAATTTAATTCAGCACCACAAATTACCCTGCTACACAAATTTTTAGGTGGGGTGACGAGGTGGACCACAAAAATAAAAAAACAGAGCCCTTTTTTCCCCATGTCATCCCATGGTCAACATCACCATGAATATACAATGAGATATACATGTACATCAAAGCAGTTAAACAGACCAGGGGCCCGTGTCACAAAGCCCTTTTTCAATGACAAATGACAAAAATCACTGACAAATCTGCTGATAACCAATCAGAAGCAAGGATTTCAGTAGCTTTAACAAAGACTGTCATTTGTCACTGATGACAAGTTTTGTGAAACGCCCCCCAGGACATCACAGGATTGCTTGCTAACTAGGCAATGTATTATCAAGTTTCACTAAACACTGTAACTGAAACATGTAAGTAATTAGTAAATAACGGCATTGCTTTCCATTTTCATATAGTCTTTAACGATTGTTAAGGCACTCCATAGAGATATATAAGGCCATGATTTTGAGAAAAAAAGAACTGAGTGGAGGTATAAATGTGACTTTAGAAAAAGAAAAAAAAATCAGGTAGATGCCTTTGATTATGTGTCTCCTTGACTGCTGCTCATCTTTCAACCTATCACTTACTATTTCCCACAAATTGTCCCTTTCTTTTATTACGAACAAGCCAGAGGCAGCACTCATGGAGGAGGGGAGGGGGTGCTGAGGCACAGTGCCCCTACTATTTCAAGTATCCCCAAAGTGCCCCCTTTTCTTTCTAATAAGTGAACCTTAGCACTTTCTGATAAGTACCTTTTTTACATCAACAAGTGCCCCTTTTCCTTTGTAATAAATGCCCCTTACCCTTTCTTAATAAGTGCCCTTTCTCAGGTGCGGGCTGGTCCTTTTTTAAACCTCTGATAAGTGCCCCTTTTTCTTTCTAATAAGTGCTGTATTCCTTGTTAGTGCCCCATTTCCTTTATGTAAACTTGGTAAGGGTATGAATAATTTAGCTGTTAACTGTATATCAACTTGTCAAGTATCTTTTGTCATTTCTCTGTTTGGAGTCTCCCATGCCTGGTATTATCACCAAGTTTGACACGATCATTGCTCCAGCCTGTACTTTATGCAATCAGGTTTCAGGTCTTCAGAGATAAGATCAGGTATAGTGTTTGATCAAGGGTTGAAGGCAGGAATTTGATGAGTGTGGGTTGTTGAAAGCATAGCAAGTGTCGACGGAAGAAGTTTTGTAGAACCAGTGTGTTACATACAGGCAAGGACCCTGGCTACTACATAGGCCTAGAGTATCCTGAAGAATATTGGGTCCACTCATTCCATCTGCCTTCCTTTAAATGGAGTGTAGCTTGGCAAATACTGGTTATCTACGTCTTCTTTTGGACAACTGCATATTAACAGTAGTCAGCGACTTAATCTCTATATGGACGCTTCGGTTTCGCGTATGTTGAATGCATGTGATTGCTGCGGTTGCTTTGTCCGTGGTCGTATTATACCGGATTGGCCTGGAGTCAGGCCACTAGAAAGACATGTAGTCTCGTCATGCTACACTCCCTTAAACCTTCAGGTCTCACCAGAAGTTCCTTCAAACGTCACAACGCTAAGCAGTGCATCGTGCAGAATTCATGACCTTTGACATCGCCTCTATTCCATCCTCTGTGCCACGATGCCCCTGTATATGCCCGTGACATAGATAGCCAAGATAAGGACCACAAAGATGTCGTCAAAGAATCCAAAAAATCCAAAGACAGCCTCGGGAATGATGTCCAGAGGGGAGATAAGGTACAGGAGGGCCGCCGCGAAGCAGAAGACGATCCTCAGACGGAACATCCAGACGATCCCGTGGAGCGAGAAGAAGTCACGGGCCGTATGACGTAGCAGGGTTGGAAGATCATAGATGTAGTCCATAAACTAAAAACGGCAATGAGAGAAGAAGAAAAAAGGAAGTTGGGGATATGACCAACAAAAAAAATTATGATGTCTTTCAATGAACATTGGCTCATTCATAAAGGTGGCAAAGTTGGACCTGGGCCCCGTTGCACAAAACTTACCATTGATGGTAACTTTGTCTTCAATGGTAACTACCATGGAAACCTTGATTTTGAATTGGCTGTTGAGCCCTGTTACCATGGTACATGTAGTTGCCATTGATGGCAAAGTTACCATCAATGATAAGTTTTATGCAACGGGGCCCTGGTTTAACTAGTTCCACTGAGATCATTTTCAAGCTCTTTATTCTATACAAAATTAAATTACTATGACAAAATGAAATCAGTCAATAAATGAATATGAGAAAATGATGTGTCATATTTACACGATGTTCGTTTATTTATTTACAAACAGAATGATGGTAATTTGTACAGGATGAAAAGGTCGACTCTTGGCGATACATAAAACAGTGAAACAAATCTACCAATTTAGTTGTGGTTTAGACCTGGATTAGGAGAATACTTTTATTAGCCTCTGACTTCAACACAGGTACAACAAAAACATATGCAACATGAAAAGTCTTGCCGAGAGTCTATAGATAGTTACCCAGTGTATCACAAACTCATTATAAATAGTCATTTATTGTTTTACTCTTGACACTAATATTACTTATAACTATTTTTTAATAGTTTCATAATGTACATGTATATCGGTGTAGAACATGTATTTTTATAATTCATGTCATGTATTTATGTTATATTGACATTGTCATCGTAAATTTATATGTATCTTGGTTTCAATGGTGAATAAATTCAATTCAATCATCAGTCAGTTGCAACAGCTGGGCCCTGTTTCATAAAACTTGTTTTAAATAACAAATGCTAAATATCTAAGACAATTTGCTCTAAGCCAATCAGATGCCATGATTTCAGTAGCTTATAACAGTTACATGTAACTTGTTATTGATAACAAGTTTTATGAAACTGGGCTATGATCTATAATGATATATGTGTTTTGCCTGCAGTGTGTGTTGATGTGTCAGTTTGCATGTAAATGTATGAGGGCGGGTTTATGTTTGTTTTGATCAGTTTTACAATATTTGTTATTTAATTTGCTTGTACGTTTATTTTTGTACAGGTCCCCATTCTCACAAGCTTTGCTCATTTCGGGGTCCTTCCGATTTGCTGTTCATTTGTGATGTATTGTTAACTTTGAATTTTAATGAAAAATAAATGAATTGAATTGAATATTTTTATTTGTGATTTTCTCTATGAAGAATGAGGCAAATATAGGGTACTACAGGATGCAATTTTTGGCGTTTCAAAGCTTGCTCTTCTATGGTTTTTATCAAACTAATCTAAAACTTCTGCCAGAATCTTGAAAATCTCCTCCACCAACTCACCGGTCTGGGCTCTCCTGAGAATCTTCGATTATAGTCCCTGATTTCGGCCATAATTCTTCCCCCATCACCGCTATTCTGTTCATCTTCTTGGAAGACTGGTAGGATGATTGTTACCTGAAAGAAAGCACGACATGAATTCATGGGAAATAATACTGAAAATTATATTAATGAATGTCCATTGTCTTGTTGACATCCTTCACCATCTATGTCTGAACTCGGACAAACCAAAAACAACATCCACGTTGATACTAACTGACTTCAGCAAAGCGTTCGATCGCATCGATCAAAACATAGCTGTAAAAAAGCTTTTGTCTCTCAATGTGAATCCATCTCTTGTCTTGTGGATATCAGACTTCCTGATGGGTAGACGTCAGTGTGTGAGGTACAACACAGCCATATCTGAATGGACTGAAATCTCTGCCGGTGTTCCCCAAGGCACAAAACTCGGCCCAATTGTGTTTTTAGCCATCATCAATGATGCTTCCTTAGATATTGTCGATCCCGTTAGGAGGTACAAATATGTGGATGACCTCACTCTCCTGGAGTGTCGTGATCAAAGGAACGACTCCAACATCCAAGCAGCCGTAACATCTTTGAGAGATTGGTCACTACGCAATCAAATGAGACTTAACCCCCAGAAATGTATATCTATGGAAGTGTGCTTCATGAGAGATGCGCCTCCCCCTTCAAATGTTGTCCTTGGAGATGGAGTGATAGCGCAACAGCAGAGTGTAAAACTCCTTGGAGTGTTCATTCAGCAGAACCTCAAGTGGGACCAACATGTAAATGAGATGCTGAGGAAAGCAAATGGAAAACTCCATATGCTTCGACTACTGAAGCATCACAACGTCCCCACAAGTGATCTCCTGACCGTCTTCAACAGTTATATAAGACCAACGGTTGAATACGCCGTCCCTGTTTGGAATCCAGGCCTCACCAAGGAACACGCCCGAAAACTTGAGAACATCCAGAAAAGGGCACTGAAAATCATCCTTGGACGTGAATTCACACATTATGATGACGCTCTCACCCTGCTGAATATTTGTACCCTTGTTGATCGACGAAAACAGATCTGTCTTCAATTTGCTAAGGAGTTGAACAAACCAACAGGACCCTGCCATCACCTGATGCCTCAGGCACCGGAAACTGCCTTTCAAATGAGACTAAGAAAGAGAATGAAAGTCCCGCAAATGAAATTCAGAACAAACAGGCTCAGGGACAGCCCTATCCCATACTCAGTAAACATGTTAAATGAACTCTAAGTAAACATGTGAAGTGAACTCTAAATAAACATGTGAAATGAACTCTAAGTAAACGTAAACAAAATGTTGAATAATTTTTTCGCCTTCTTTTTCATGTAACTGACATGTAACTGTCAAAGGTCCCTTTAGCATGTTTAGTATCAGTATGTTTTGCGGTCGACACTCAGCCAGATTGTGCATTTGTGCATGCATGTGTGTGCACATGGGGGGGGGGGGGGGGGGGGATGAGTAATAGATACACTGTTATTTTCTGTGGAGGGAGGTTAACCAATATCCAGGCAATATGTTGTTCTTGTTTCTTTTTCTTTACTTTCCTTTCTTATTCTTCTTCCCCTTTTCTTATTCTCCTATTTTTATTCTTGTTCTCCTCCTTCTTTTTCTCCTGTTCCCTTTTCCCCTTCTTCTTCATCTTCTTCCTACACCTTTTTTTTTTTTTTTTTTTTTTACTTAACTTTCTTTACCGTATTTATCTATTAAAATTTAAACTCTAAACTTATATCCTACTACTCCACAGTATTATCATAATAACAATAATATCAATTTTTGAAACAGTCTGAATATATGCAATATGTTTTTGAATCTATATTTCCAAATGTATTTTAAACGTTTGTACAAATGTATTTATGTCATTTTTAAAAAGGAATATTTGTAAAATAATCGCAATTCGGCTATGCCGCAATGATGTTTTTTCATTAATAAACCAGTTATCTATCTATCTATCTATCTAACAGTATGAACAACAAGAATGATAATATCGTAATTTTAAAACTTCCTCATCTGAACTATTGTACTATAATTTGGGGCAATACTTTTAAATCAAACTTATCAAAATTGTTTATTTTACAAAAGAAAGCAGTTCGTCTGTTGACCAACTCTCATTATATGACTCCAAGCGCGCCACTTTTTGTTAAATATAAAATTATGCCTCTTTTCGAACTGATAAGATTTAATACCTGGATTTTTATGTATAAATATAATAAAGGCGCCCTTCCAGAAGTTTTTTCTAACATGTTTCAAACAAACTCAAAATTCCACACTCATTTAACTAGACAACATCAAGATTTACATAAACCCTTCTCTAGATTCAATTATGTTCGCAATTCAATTAGATTCACAGGGGTGTATGAATGGAATTTGTTAAGTAGTAACATTACAAATAGCACAACACTATCCAGATTTAAAGTATTGTGTAAGTTACGTTTATTCAGTTCTTTAAATAATCTCGATCTCTCTTCGTAGCTCTTTATCTTGTATTTTTCCTTCCTCTTATATCTTTGCTCCATTCTGTCGTGTGTTTGTGTGTGTGTGTGTGTGCGTGTGCTTGCTTGCTTGTTATGCGTGCGTGTGCATTTAAATTTATATTAATGTTATAATGTACTTGTATATAGGGTCCCGACTACAAGCAGTCTTGCTTCTCAGGGACCCTGACCATTATTACTTTTGTTTGTTGTTATTTGATATCATTCTTCTATTGTATTGTTGTTTTGTATATTTTGTTGTTTTAAATGGTCAATAAACGAAGGGACTTCCTTCATATTCAATGTAAAAAAAAAAAAAAAAAAAAAAAAATGATAATAATTATAATGATAATAATAACAACAGTAGTACCGTAATAATAATAATGAAATAATAATACTAATAACAAAAACAAACAAAAAGAGCCTCCAAAATATCCCTATTCATGGTTTAAATCCCCTCTGCAATAGTTTGGACAGGAGGGATTAGACCTCCCTGCATGGTCACTGACAGGTGGTTATCTCATCAAATCAGCTCTCAATTAACATAAGAAAAAGGGGACCATGGGGGACCAATGGTCACCGATTAGGCATTGTTTGCTATATGTATAGAAGGCGCAAGTAGCCAAAGTAGTGCAGTGGGGCTTTAACAAAATATTCATTAACTACATAAATAAACACTAGTTTGGTTCCATACTTACCATTTGTCTACACACAGGGCAGCTTATAGCACCAAGCCATGTACCGTGTCTCCAGTATGCAATTAAACAGTTACCTTGCAAAAAACAAGAAACACATCATATTGTGAAAATACAGAGTTGATCCTCAAGTCTTTAAAGGCAATACATCATTTGTACAACGTTCATTTGTATAAAAGCAGAAAATTAGAAGAAACATAATGGCGAAAGTTTGAAATAAATCCAACCATTAAAGGGTAATCCAACCTTGATAGACTACTATTAAATATCAAGAAAGCAAAGAAATAGAAAAGCAGGCTGATGAAACTTTGAATTAAATATGACTAAAAATAATCATAGTGATCTCATATTTCAAACATTCATAACTTTCTTATTAGTGGTCTGATTTATTTTATAGATTCGCTGTTCTGTTTATCTCTATTTTTCTGCTTTCATACAAATCAAACTCATTGCAAGGGTTGGATTGCCCTTAACTCTTAAGCTGCCACTCATACAATGCACCCAGTGCCACAGTGCTAATCCCTATTGTGCCAGCCACAAATCCCCTGTATGCCAAGTTAATTTTAGGGTTGGTTCAAGTGCGTGGTTTTTAAATCTTTACTATGTTTGATCCACTATAACTTCTCATTCCTATGTTATATAAACAAACATTGTACATAAAAGTTGTAGGAAATTTCACCCTCTTTCCATTGATACCAACATCATATCATGAATTTGTAATTTTGCGATAATCTGATGCAAGCGATGGTACTTTCAATAGCGCTGCAAAAGCACTCAGCATGGTGCAATGGGCATAAACAATAACTGTTATTACATATGCGTGCTAGTGTGAACAAAGCAGACAAGCGGTGGCTCGCTAGCATGAACATAGCAATCAATCGATAGCACGCTCGCGTGCACAAAGCACTATAACAATAGTGCGCTAGCAGTCTCATGGCAGGATATGAGTTAATAAGAAAGTTATGTATGTTTGAAATATGAGATCACTAAATCTATGCCAATCTCAAATTTGCAAATTGGTCAGTGTCTCAGTGGATTGTGACATAGTCATGGACAACTTTCCCGTTTGTTGTGTACAAAAAATATCATTAATATCTGTTTTTCTTCTAAGTGCCTTCTCCCTGGGGGAACTACTAAAAATGTTAGTCTTTTTTTGTGGGAAAATGGGAAAGTAGTCCAGCATTTTGTCGCAGTAACATTATCTTTTCAGCCAATTTCATATGAACATTGATTACAGCTTTAGAAAATTCATATCTTTGTTATTTTTTAACCCAATTTCGTTAAAATTTACACCAGTCTGCCTCTCTGATTTGTCTGCTTTCTTTTAGAGCAGTTGTCTATTAAGGTTGGATTTTTCTTTAATAGGATTACATATCTTTGTCTCTCTTTTTCCGTCAGTCTCTCCTTATCTCTCTTTATCTCTCTCTCTTTCTGTACTGTATCCGTGAAATAGTGATCACTGATCCTGCTTTTCTATCTATAGCTCTCTGTCTCTCTTTTCTTTTCTTCTTCTAATTTTCTTCCTTCTTCTTTCCTTACTTCCTTCGTTCCTTATGCTCCCTTCATCTTCTCATTCTTCTTTTCTTTATTTTTCTCCTTTTTCTCTTTTTCTCCTTCTCTTTGTGTTGGGGGGCAAATTATCCAAACAAATTTTCTATCATTAAACCATTGCTAGAACTTAAAAATGACAATTGCAATAGAATCTATAGAACCCAGAAACCTACCACAAAACACATGTCCACAGTTCGTCTCAGCTGCACATTCTTTCTCATCAAGGCAAATAGGGCAAGGTCGATCTCCGTTATATGGCTGGGCACTCATGCCATGCCGTCCATCGCTGCTCTGCCCCTCACCGTTTTGTTGACCGTTTGACTCCCCCGTAGCTTGCCCATTGGCTGATGCAGCATGGTCATCAGCATTGGGTCTGCCATAGCGGAGCTGGGTGCGTGTATGCTGGACATGGGCTTCACTCTCAGGGTGTATAGCCCCTGTCGCAATTGATCTTAACCTGGAAGTGAAAAGCATAAAAATAAACAAAACATAAATTCATAGTCAGCTACAGTCAGTAGGGTCTAAATGAGTTGATCAGTATATACCTTGCACGCACCTCCAAACTCCATCTTAGCTTTGCTTTTTCATCTATGGGGCTAGATCTGACTATGTCAATGTCAAGTCAGGGGTTCTGCAAGGCAGTGTTTTAGGACCCTGTTCCTGACTACTCCTTATATATATTAAGAAAATATTAACAGACTACGAGGTTAATATTTGTTTTATAATATCCCACATCGGCAATGTCTATTCAAAGTGAATTTTACATAATTAAAAGAACTAGGTTTTCGCTTGCGGTGTCCTCATTCTGCAGACAGTTTAGCTCCAGCATTTGACTTTTCCAACGCTTAAAATTAAGCGTCGTTGACTTGTACTAGTTTGGCCTTAACAAAAAAACTGACATTTTGCGTAACCTACTTTCAAGGGACAAGTGGGGCAGCAGCAAAAAAATACTGTACAAAAGTACTATCGCAGGGAGTTGATCATGTGACCTCGTTTAGACCAATCAGATTGCAAGATTCTCAGTATGCAGGATATTATAACAATGATTATCCAGGACCCGCTTTCTTCCCACGTCAGGTTGTTAGCAAATAACACTGTCACCTACGACACAGTATCCTCTCCTGCTGTTCAGAAAGATCTTCAGCACAATTTAGACCGGCTTGCTTGGGAGAGAAGTAGCTGATTTTCTTCTGTGGTCATGGCCTACTTCACTAGCGGTGTCGAACCGTCTAGCTTCATCTCATGAAAGACATGATTTACCCAAATCAAAAATCGACCACCACAACTCGGTCCCTACGTTACATTTCGTGCCCATGCAAAAATTACGGGTTTTTATGTATGCCCCACATAGTAAGGTATAAACAAGGCATTTTACCACCAAATTTGTGTATATCAGGGATTCAGTGCTTGCACTTTTATTTTTTTGGTAGCGACCAAGAAAGGTAAACAATCACAATGAATACAAAGCGGTTCCTACAACAAGTACTAGCTCCTCACCAGAAGGGGCGCGCGCTGGTCCAAGAATAAGGAGGATCGTTTTCGTAAACGCAGACTGATACGTCCTAAAAAATAAAGATCGTTCTGCATTTTCGCAGACGTTTCATATTTCTGATCGGTGCATTGGCGATGCAAAAGAAGAATTCCTTGATGATTGGCTTGATGAATTGTACTTTGACTTTGTACAGAGAGTTTCACATTATGAACGATAAATCCTCGGGAAATCAGACAACCCATATAAGTAGACGGTGAACTAGGGTTATTTTCTTACGCCGAATCCATTTTTCGCATTGACAGCGGGCGGTTCGGTATCCCGAAACCTGCAGACCGCCAACGAAAAAAAACGTCTGCGAAAATGCAGACGATCCTTATTTTTGAGGACGTATTTTGTCCAGGATTGACAATAGATTTCCAAATTAAATTTTCAGAGTAATTTTCCCAACATCCGTGATTTGAATTGATTGTATTTTACTGCTAGGTGATATCAAAATGATATCTCTTAATATCATAACCTAGCCCTGGCCCTTGACTTCAGGCTATCCCATACGTTCAAATTTGTGTAAGTACAAGTGAGCGGAACTATGCCATCGCCATCGCCCGAACCATCGGGGGTGAGTTTCATCCCGGTTGCCCGTAACTCCACCATACGTACCTGTTTCGATAGGCGACTAAAAAAGGCACTGCAACTACGATGATTAAACCAAGGATTTGAAAGAACTCATCCCCTATACCTTCAACAATCGTTCCTCTTTCAGGCTGGCTCATTTCTAATGTCATAGACACAAATGACAATATGAAACACAGGCGCCAAGCTAAGGCGCAGGTCAACGTCGTCTACGGGTGATAAATCGAGTTCCCTGTTTAATGATTGAGTGACGTGTCTATATATGACGTATCGATGACATCATCTATAAATATAATGCGGTGTTCAGGGAGATTCCCTTCACATCTTCCAGTCCATCGCATCATGCTTACATAACCTTGATCCCCCTCCCCCTTCCCCCACCAAAGCCTTAGACCGAAAGAAATTCAATACCAGTATATATAATATAAACACATGTAAAGGGCATCGTTATAGGGGGGGGGGGGGGGGGGGGGGGGTCGGAATCAGGTCAAGAAAAATTAAATCTTCACATGCATCATCCATTTTCTTCCTTTCTGTCTCTGTCTCTCACTCCCTCTCTCTCTCTCTCTCTCTCTGCTCTCTTTACTTTCTTTTCTTCTCAACTTCTCCCAATTAATTAAAGTATATGTTGGCATTATGTGTACATTGTAAATGCTGATTTGCCAAACAAATAATCGTTATATGACGACAATGATGATAAGATGGTGACGATGTGATGATGAATTAAGATGCATTTAAAGGTAAAGAGTAGACCAGTATTGGAAAGGCCCCAATTTCAAAAAATGAAATGGAAGCTCTCATTACCAATCATGTGAAAGAATATGTTTTGATTAATACATGATGATACAAAATTTGCCGGGAAACCGCCTACTAATTCATATATTTGGTAAATTTGTTTCTCTCATGGTCTGTGAGAGATATAGGGTAGTCCCATATACATCTTTCTGTGTATAGTGCTTGTAACTTTACAAAGAATGGGCCAAATTTCTTATCATTTTGATGATTCCAGAACCTTGCAGATGCTAGATGCTAGATGATCAACCTTTACTGATCGATTCCATAACGTTTCTTTCACAATGCAATCGCATGACCATAACTGGTCTTTACCTTTAATAATTCATATCAACAATAATGCTGTCCTGACATAATACATTAAATTTCTTCAAACAAGATAATAACCACTGTAGACATAAAGACAGGTGCAAACAAAATAAGAATGAAGATAAATTACTAATTTTTCGAATATTTATTTCAGCTGCAACATCAAAACATTGAATGATAATGCGAATGGTTATTTTCAGTGAGATACAAGTCAGTGCATATGTTGAGTTTTCATTACTTAAAGAGAAATCCAACCCTTGCAATAAGTTTGTTGAATGCAGAAAAATAAGATAAAACAAAATGGTGGAAATTTGAAATAATTAAATTGGCTCAATAATAAGATAATAATGAATGTTTGAAATATGAGATCACTAAATGAGTATGAATTTCAAATTGGCAGTTTGTTCTGTAGATTGTGACGTAGAGTCGTAGACACAGACAACTCTCCTGTTTGTTGTGAACAAAAACATCATTATTTCAGTTTATCTCCGAAGTGCCTTCTCCCGGCCTTGGGGGCACTATCAAAATTTATTATGGCTAGCATATCATTATAGGTCCTTTAAAAAGAAAAGACCCTTGTGAGCCATACATTTTTGAAAAATTGAATTTTATTCATTTTTGATAATAGAATAAACGGGAAAACTACATCAAAGAGACATTACCGATTAAGCCAATTTGAAGAGCTCATACCTATAGTGATTACAACTTTCAAATATGCATAACTTTCTCATAATAATGTATGATTTCATTCAAACTTTCACCAGTCTTTTTCTCTGATTTGTTTCTGCTTTCCCTTTAATCATGTCAAATGGCTACAGATTAGTTTTAAATTCATGTATATACCCAGCCTATTGGGCAAAATAATGTAGATACATAAACATTCATCTTTACTTCTACTTTCAAAACATCATTTATAAGAGTGAAGTCATTGTCAAAACCTTTATCTTAAACTGCTTTATCTTTTTCTTACAAACATATCAAATAGTTGGAAAGATTTTCAATTTTTATTACCAGAGTTGCATTCAAATTATTCCTACGGTACTCACAGATCGTATCAAGAGAAAACATTGACAAGAATAGGTCATGAATCCATAACACCACGAACAATAATCATTAACATCAAGATTGTGGACAGGTTCCAAAGGTGTTCATAATTGACAAAAGTCAAGTTTAAATTGGTACTACTCACAAATCACATTGACAATAAATGAAATATACAAGAGTAAATCATGAATCCCATATGACAAACATGAAAACAGACTTCAAATTACTACTAAAAATCATTGATCATATAAAAAGGAAAAGATTTTCAAAAGTACAAATCACAATTGTACAACAAAATATATATTATACAAACATCAAATTTACCACCAAAAACAAGAAATGTGAGAAAAGTTTTACAGGTGTTTATCAGATATCAGAGGTAAAATTTTACTACTCATTGCTTACATTAAAAAAAAGAAATACAGTGTACATACATTTTAATCTTTCTTTTACAAGTGTTGGTCGTAATTCCACAAAACAACACAATTACAAATTTTGTTCAGGCACTGTTCCTACTATTCAATCTCAATGTAACCCACTGAATTTTATTATCTGTGAACAATTGTGAATTGTGAATTGTGAACAACTGGTTTAGATGCAACAATGATGTACATTGTTATAACACCCGAAACTCCAAGAATTTGCATAGTATAGTATTAATGACTGCTTTGAGAGAAATAGTTGTTTTATTACGCTCAAGGGAAGGTTACAATTGGGCTATTCCCCGAGGCTTGCCGAGGGGAATAGCCCAATTGTAACCTTCCCGAGAGCGTATGAAAACAACTATTTCTCGAATATTAAAGCAGTCATTAATACTTTTATATGCCGAAAAAAAATAGACTAAAAAATAAAAAATAAAAATAATTTACATTTTTGTCGAAGACGGGATTCGAACTCTTGCGTACAACAAGAGGTGTATCGAAAACCAACGCTTAGACCACTCGGCTATCGCGCGCCGTTCACATGCTTGGCAGTTTTCTCCAATATATACATTAAAATGGATTGAAAACGGCTCCGCGTGAGGGATGCTTCGCAAAAGCTCCATGAAACGGACCCTTCTTTTACTTTTGCAATGCATATTGGCACGAACTTAGATCAAGATCTATCGGCAGATGTTGTTTTTTTGTTTTTGAGAGTTAATTTTCGTCTTCATGTCAACAATGCAAGATAAAATTGTCGGTAAGATCGATCGAGATTCAATTGTATTGAAATTGCCGACCAATTTTTCGCACACGTATGGTATCCTCCATCGCTCAAACCATTTTTTAACATGTAAACCTATGGGGTAACCATGGAGACTGACCTATTTTTTTAATAACCATGGTTATTAAAAATATTGAAATGTTTTATGCATGGTTACCAGGAATTTTACAGGAACAGTTGAAGTTTATGAATGCAATTCGACCAATCAGATGGCTGGATTTCTTAAGTGAGGTATATAACATTTATTACAGAACTGCTACTGGCCAAAGAAGTGTTAGTACCAGGGTTACCTTACATGGTCTGCTTTAGATGACAGTCTCAAACAATCCGCATCATTACGACAATTTAAATTTAAATATAAAAAATACCTCTGCAATTCTAAATAGTCATATCAATCTAAAAAAAATATATTATTATGTTTCAAATCGCAATTATGTTTTCATCGGGTCAATTTAATCTAATTATAAAACCAGACATGTGAAGGGAGAGTCCACCCTGAGGATGGGTTTACTCCGCCTTTACTTGGCCACACACATTCTCAGGGTGGACTTCCCTTTCATTGCTACCGGGGCTAGACTCGACAAGCTTCGCTTTTTCTAGCCCCATCTACATTACTCACCTTTTTATGTTTTAATGTTGATGTTTGTTAACTGATGTAGATTTTCATTGTTCTTTTATGCTTATGTATCTGTTTTTCATTTGCTCTATGTGTCAAATGTATAAAATGTATTTTCTTACCATGTATATTCTTCTGGTTTTTAACGTGGAAAATAAATGAAATAATAATAATTATTTTACATGGTGAATAAATAAAACAAACAAAAAGACAAACAAAAAGGCATCAGATTCACCATTAAAAGTCACTGCATAAACAGGAAATAATATTTACAAATAGAATTTGTAATTCAAACATTAATACAGATATCAAATTTACTAATGAGAGATCACTGATCATATAATATAAAAAGGAAATAATATTTACAAATAGAATTTGGAATTCAAATTTACCACAAAAGATTTGAAAGGTGTTTAAAAGTAGCACATGTAAAATTTCAAATAATTAATGTTAACTGATCATAATATAAATAAAAGGGAAAAATATACAAAGTGTAATTCAGAAACAAACAAAACATACACTAATATTAACATCAAATTTACCACTTGAATCAAAGAAAAAGAACTGGAAATGTCTTGAAGGCGTTTTGCACAGACTAAGTTCAAAGTATTCATGGGCAAGCAACGCTAGATGTAAAGTATTTTGTTTGATACGTTATTGACCACATGTAAGATTTTTTAGCATATCTGATCTTTGAATAAAGTTAATAACCCCACTATTGATTAGAATAAGGTCAAATATGAAGTAAATTTATATCCATAACTCCAAAACTTAGTTATATTATGAGAAACCATATACTCACTGATCACGATCACATTAAAAGTAAATGACTTTTACAAGTGTAAATCATGTTTCCACAACATCACACATAAGATTTTAGCATATCTGATCCTTGTAGAAAGTTAATAACCCCCACTATTGATTAGAATAAGGTCAAATATGAAGTAAATTTATATCCATAACTCCAAAACTTAGTTATATTATGAGAAACCATATACTCACTGATCACGATCACATTAAAAGTAAATGACTTTTACAAGTGTAAATCATGTTTCCACAACATCACACGTAAGATTTTAGCATATCTGATCCTTGTAGAAAGTTAATAACCCCCACTATTGATTAGAATAAGGTCAAATATGAAGTAAATTTATATCCATAACTCCAAAACTTAGTTATATTATGAGAAACCACATACTCACTGATCACGATCACATTAAAAGTAAATGACTTTTACAAGTGTAAATCATGTTTCCAAGACATCACAAACGTCAAAATAAGCAAAGTAAACAAATCATGATACTCTCTCAGCATCACTGACACATCCTTAGACTGACTCAGGATTTGTTTGATGCTGAGGAAGGACTAGAGAGAACCTGTTCCCTCAGGAATCCTGTAAGATCATCAAAGTCCAGGTCTAGATCCAGGAACTTGGCTAGAATCTCCTTGTACCTGTCAAACTGGGTCTCGGAGCTTGAGGAGTCTACCCTCAGGATTGGTTGGTTCTCTCTCAGAAGTTTAGAGACCTAGACAAGTGGGTGGAATTGATGGTAGAATTATTTAGATGAGGATTGCATTTTAGATAATATAATAATAATAATAATAATACACAACATTTATTAGACGCTTAATACGGGTGTTTTTAAGCGCACCATTGTCTGACTAAAAGTTAACAACCAAAACTTATAATAAACATAAAAAAATATATATATGTTCTTTATTCAATAAATCATGCATATATAATAACAAAAATAAAAACAAAAATGAGATCAAACATAAGGTCAGACATAAGATCAACCAAACAAGGAATAAGATGGTGTGCACCTCCTTTGACCGACTCACAACTGCAGAATATCATTCAATTGGAATTGTCTTATCTATTCTCTCTCTAATCTTTCTATCCCACTCTCTTAACCTCTTTATTAAGTTTTCCTTTATTTCTTAAACACTCTTGTTCGTCTCCATCACTTGTTTTTCTTTCAATTTTCTCTCTCCGGTCCCCTCGACCTCCCTGTTTCCCCTGTCTATTCACCTCTCTGCCTCTCTTTCCCTCTACATCGCTCTCTGAAGTGAAACATCATCCAATTTACCTTTGTACCCCTCTTGACCAGTTCTTCTGGAAGACCAGCGGTCAGTGCTATGTGGCTAGCATGGCTGTAGTTAGCATGTCCATCGGTCAGCTCGTACAGAAAAACCAATTCACCATCATTTTCAAGCACCTCCATGGTCTAAATGGAGTTTTAAAAAAAATTGATATGCATGAAGAAATAAACATAAGATTATTATCTTTCTATCACATGAACATTCTTGATGTTCATGGCATAATGTAGTAGGAAGAGAGTTGTGCAGAAAACAGCATTTAGGAGTACTTTGAACTTCCAGAAAAGTCTCTCTTGAGGGAGGGTAGTAGTAGTAGTGGTAGTGGTAGTGGTAGTGGTAGTGGTGGTGGTGGTAGTGGTAGAAGCAGCAGCAATAAGAGCAGTATTAGTAGAAGTAGAAGTAGTCTTTATTGGATATTTTTTAGCACAAGGCTAATCTGTTGAAGGTATAGTCCTTCCCTGATGATAGCGTGAAAGTGGGTTGAAACCATCAGTTTTGGACAGTCCGATCCCCACCCCCCCCCCCACTCCAGGAACGGAGGCACCGCATGCATGTTCCCAAAATCTCTGGCTCGTAACAAAAGAAAAAGCTCTACCCATATTGACTTTACACACCGGACTTATGCTGAAACGGGGGGGGGGGGGGGGGGGGGGGTGCTGAAAAGGCTTGTATAACTAAAGAAAAAGGTCTACCCGTATTGACTTTACACACTGGACTTATGCTGAAAAAGGTGGGGGGGGGGGGTGCTGGGAACACGCATATGCGTACCCTACATAACACTGAGTGGGGGAGCCGGGGTCCGATCTTTTGTTTGTAACCAGTATCTAACAAAAACACAATCTTACATTGTACCTATGAAACACCAGAAAGGCATTAATTTGTATCATGCTTTTGGCTTCTAACAGGTGGTTTGTTCTTTGTTGTATGAACCGTTACCTGATAAGAGAGTTGTTGCGATGCTGGTAGCAGCCCTTCTCTGACGATGGCATGGAAGTGAGTTGAAACCATCAGGTTTGGACAGTCAGATCCTTTGCCTTCCCAGTGTTTAATACAAGCCACCAGCAGTGAGAGACCATCCACTGTATCTGTGCTCCTTCCAAACTCATCGACGATCACCAGAGAGTTCTTAGTTGCATCACGGACGGCAGCAGATAGCTTTAGAATGTACAAAACAATTTTAAAATGTTTAAAATTTCATATTAGAGAATTAAAAAATGTCATGGCTTACCTAATAATAAATAATAATAATAATAGCCTAATAGTCCACTCCAAATGTTATTAAACCGAAACGGAACACACTCATAGAACACTGAGGCTGTTGGTTTAAGGAAATAACTCTGCCTAACACTGTGCTACATGTGAAAGGCAAATCAGCAAGGACCTAAATATATGTTCCATTTGCATTCAAATCATGGATTAGATTAGAAAGGTGATACATGTCGGTAAAGGAGCTACATTTTTAAATAAATAATGTGACTTATTCTTCGAACTGTGCACTCACAGGAAATTAAAATACCTGTGTACATAAACATGTTTATTTAGCATTCTAGCACACTCTTTCCAATTCTCACTCGAAAAATTACTTTTCCTTTCCTGATCTGGTCTTACTAAACTATTCCTCAAGCATGTTGTTCTTTATGATAATAATAGTTACCATTCATATAGCGCTTAACAAACATGTACTTATAGTGCATAATTGCTTCAATAAATGCCATATTTAAAATTCAAATTCTTTTATTTCACATCTTTTAGAAACACAAGGTATGCAGAAATACATTTTAAGATGTATATCCCTACATTGCTTCAAGTAGATACCATATTTTAAATTCAAATTCATTCATTTCACGTCAAAGTACAACGTATACAAAATACATTTTGAAATGAATATCTCCATGTTTTTGTTGCAACTATATGGAAATGAAGAACAAAGACTTCAGAAGTTGGCTTGAAACCAATTTCTAACCTGATTGAGGTCTATCATGAATGTTGATAGTCCCACTGATACAGATTCTTGTGTGTGAACTCGAGTGTAGATGCCATCTAGCATACCAATGCTTGCCTTCTCGGCCGGTACGAAGCTACCAATCAGAGCCATGAATGCTATCAAACCAACCTGTATATGGAAGAGGGAGGGAGGGAGGGAGGGAGGGAGGGAGGGGGGGGGGAATGGAGGGAGGGGGGAATGGAGCAGAAATATATCAGTCAGGAGGTGCCTTCTGTGTAACAAGCCTTGTGCTTTTTTGGGGGTTGGGGGAAGGTAACCTTACATCTATTATTTTCCCAATTTATGTATTGTTAACTTAATTATTCATACACTTACCAAATTTTTTTATTTTTTAAGTATGTAAAGAATTTATTTATCCAGATTTATGTTTCTTGAGAACGTGAGATATTAAAGCTTACATGTAAAAGTATTCAACAAAGGCCCTAATTTAAGCAGGCCCCCTTTCATTCTTGAGTTACGAAAACCACAAAAACATCAAATTTACAAGGGGTATGAATAATTCAGTTGTTAGCTGTATATATGTAAATGATTTTATATGTGTCTTACATGTTGGATGATAAATAAATTGAAATTCAATTGAAAAAGATCTTGGTTCTTGGGATGTGTTATACATTTTGATGTCTGTTTCAAAGACATGTCTATGCACGCATATTTCATCAAGTACAAAATGTGTTCACATCTTCATTAGACTTGACTCCTGCTACAAGATATCAGAGGGATATGAACAGGCATGGGATGGAGAAACAGAATGAGAGAGAAGGAGACAGGAGGAGGCTTATGGGCATAAAGACTGTCTATCTTACTGCATGATTGGCTTGCTGACTGATGGCATAAAAAGAAGAAGGAGAAGGAGAAGGAGGAGAAGGAGAAGGAGAAGAAGAAGAAGAATGAGAAAAAGAAGAAGGAGCAGAAAAAAGAAGAAGGAGCAGAAAAAAGAAGAAGGAGCAGAAAAAGAAGAAGGAGAAAAAGAAGAAGGAGAAAAAGAAGAAGGAGGAGAAAAAGAAGAAGGAGGAGAAAAAGAAGAAGAAGTAGAATGAGGAGGAGGAGAAAAAGAAAAGAAAAAGGAGGAGGAGGAGGAGGACAAAGGCATTTGGTTACCACACCTTTGATTGCAAGTCATCAACATCCCAGGGCCCCGTCTTATAAAGAGTTGTGATTGATCCAAATCAATCGAAAGTCCCCTAATCAATCGCAAGTTTGCATTTCCCTATCTCTTATTTACATAGTTGAGAATAATATCAACTCTTTATATCCAATGAAATGATGTCCCAAGTCTTTTTCTTCTGTAGGGAGCATCTCGTAATATAAAGTACTTATAAAGTCTAATTAACCTTCAAATGCAGTCTGAAAAATGCCTCTTCACAACTCTCAACCAATCAGTACAAAAAACATCATGTTGCCAATGGGATACCTGTTTAAGGTAGATGCTCTTCCCGCTTGCATTGGGACCAGTAATGACCTTGATCCTGGTATGGTCCCCTCCAAAGTGTGCATTGTTAGGTACAAAGGGGGTGACACACAGCTCCTGTAGAGGGTGACGTCCCCCGATGATGTCCAACTGACTGCCGTGGGTGAGCTCAGGCCGGACGTAGTTGCCTTCCTTGGCAGCGATGGCAATGGCTATCAAACTAGGAAATATTATTGAAAAGACATTGAAAAATCAATCAATTAGACTGGGAACGTGTCATAAGCTGTCACTATTCAAGCCCGCCCGCCCCCCCCCCCCCCCCCCCCCCCCCCCCCCAAAAAAAAAAAAAAAAAATATATATATTTTTTTTTTAATTATTTTTTTTATATGTAATAAAAAGACATAAGGCACATATAGAAAATCAATGAAAGAACCCTACGAAACCCCTTGGAAAAAAAATTATTCTAGAAATGCTCCTGGTCATAAGCCCTTTTAATGAACATTGTGTGGTAAAAAATGTACATCATCACTTAATAGAAATGTTCATACATTATAATCACAACTATGAAATTCAGTTTTGATGTGTCAATATACATGTACCCCATATGGTAAGTTGCAAGTACAACCATGATTGTCACCTACCAGTCTAGTTCAGCAGCATAGTCCATGATAGCATAGAAGACCTGTGATCTTAGAAGGATATCATTCTGTAGCTGATGCATGATCTGTGTCTCATGGTCAGTGATGTCACAATGGGTGTCGCCTAGCTTCACATCAAGGGCTGATCAAGAGAAAAGGACTTTGATTGATTGATGAACATATCCACAAATTATTATTTAAATTAGAAGGACCTTCAACTGCGAGCAGTCGAAAATGATGCCCTTGCCATAGAGCGTTTTTATACAAAACAGAAGCAATTTTTCAAACTCAAGTTTGATTGTAATCCATTAACAGGTTCTCAGAATATCCTGATTAGAAGCTATTTTTCATATACATGACCGTTTGATCTTTGACCTTAAAATCTAATCAGTTCATTGGTTCAGCAAGATACATACATGTCCTGAGTTTGATGGTAATCTGTCCATCAGTTATAATGATGATGTGATCACAAGCTATTTTTGCATATATATAATGAGACCTGTGACCTTTGACTTTGTGGCCCCAAAATCTAATCAGCTTATTAGCTCTGCAAGATACATACATGACCTAAGTTTGGGAGGAATCCATCAATCATTTCTTGAGATAACGCGATCACAAGCTGTTTTTGCATATATAAAGAGCCATGTGACCTTTGACCCTGTGACCCCAAAATCTGATCAGCTTATTAGCTCTGCAAGGTACATACATGACCCAAGTTTGGCAGGAATCCGTCAATTGGTTCTTGAGATAATGCGATCACAAGAATGGGACGTACATATGTAATTATGTCCTATGGTAAATATCAGACTAAACAAAACGGCTAACATTCTGACCATTAGTGAACATTATATACCTCACTTAAGAAATCCAGCCATCTGATTGGTCGAAATTGCATTCATAAACTTCAACTATTTCCGTAAAATTCCCAGTAACCATGGTTAAAATAGTTCTAAAGTCCCAGTAACCATGGTTATTGGAAAATAGTTCAGTCTCCATGGTTACCCCATAGGTTTACATGTTAAAAAATGGTCTGAGCGATCGAGGATACCGTACGTGTGCGAAGAATTGGTCGCTATATTTTACCAATTTTGTAATACAACTAGCAGCGAATCCGGGCTAACTCGCCCCACGGGACATCTCGCCCCAGCATCAAAGACTGGGTCGAGATGTCCCGACACGATTCATCGATCGAGAGATACCAATGTGTATATGTTTGTGCTCATTGTACATTTTAGACGATATGGCTGATATTTGTTCACATTCTTTCATCCTGGCCGTTAATTAGCAGACTACTGGTATCTCTCAATCGATAAATCATGTCGGGACATCGCGCTGGGGCGAGATGTCCCGTGGGGCGAGTTAGCCCGACTCCCTAGTAGCTGCGCCAGCGCAGACGACCGACTGTACTAGGCCAAAATGGCTGAATTAGAAACGCTCCCAAGATTTTGACTTCTGGATGAGGATCAAATGCGAGATATGCTGACAGCAAGAACTCCAAAAAGGGTACGTGAAATCTTCCATAATTTTTTCAGTAGGCCTAGATCTAGATTCTAGTACGCGACAACCAGATGCTGGTGATTGTAGTGATTTGCACGTCACGGACAGATGCAGATCCTTCCCGTAGAGATTACACACATCCCTATGCATTTCCATTGGCCATTGCGCATTCGATCATGCTAGATTGGTCGATGTTTTAATTACCAGAGATTCAAACTAATATTGCTCGTGATCCTGAAGGTGATACTCAATAAGTGAGGTGTCATATGAAAGCGCAGGTTTTTCTCCATATTCCCCACAGGGCCAGCCCACCCCCAAAATTGTAAAAATATCTTGCTTAGACTAGTACTGATCTAGATCTAGTCTACTCTCAAAGAAACAATCATAAAAAACAACCGTGCAGATAAACTAGAAAAAGGCCAAGGTGGTGTCATAATTTTTTTGGCATATAAAAGTATTAATGACTTCTTAATATTCAAGAAATAGTTGTTTTTATACGCTCAAGGGAAGGTTACAATTGGGCTATTGCCCTAGCTCGGCACGCCTCGGGCAATAGCACAATTCTAACCTTCCCTTGAGCGAATAAAAACAACTATTTCTCTCAAAGCAGTCATTAATACTATAATATATATTCAATATTTGTTGTATGTAATTTCTCTCCTCTATGCAATATGCAGTTCTTTTCATCTTCATTATGTGTACAAGAAATTGCTTAACTCCACCATAATAAAACTGAAACAGGCCAGCGTTTCTCGAAACCGTCATGACTACAAGTTCACCGACATCCCATTGAAACGCGTGTATTAAGTTTAACACGCGTTTCAATGGGATGTCGGTGAACTTGTAGTTATGACGGTTTCGAGAAACACTGCCCAGGACACCAGCAGTATGGTTGACATGTTTCTTAAGTCACAAGCGTTTATAATGATTTTCACTCAACGTTTTCATTCAATTTTTCTTCCCATCATACCTCTTGTTCTAGCACTCTTGTAATGAACGGTATTGTTGGACATGAACTGTGATAAAGAGAAATTGAAAAACAGGAAAAATGAAAGTCAGTGACATTTAAGCTCCAAATGATGACCATTTGACATTCTTCTGTAATTGTTTGAAAAATATGTATTTTCATAAACTTCATAAAAAACTTCTAGCTATAAGTCTATAAGTGTCTATAAGTCTATAAGTGTTCATTATTCATTAACATCTTCTGAATATAGCTAAGTTGTCATTATTCATTTACATCTTCTGAAGATGAGATAGTATTCATTTACATCTTCAGAAGATGAGTTAGTATTCATTTACATCTTCTGGAGATGAGTTAGTATTCATTTACATCTTCTGAAGATGAGTTAGTATTCATTTACATCTTCTGAAGATTAGTATTCATTTAAATCTTCTAAAGATGAGTATTCATTTACATCTTCTGAAGATGAGTTAGTATTCATTTACATCTTCTGAAGATGAGTTAGTATTCATTTACATCTTCTGAAGATGAGTTAGTATTCATTTACATCTTCAGAAGATGAGTTAGTATTCATTTACATCTTCTGGAGATGAGTTAGTATTCATTTACATCTTCTGAAGATGAGTTAGTATTCATTTACATCTTCTGAAGATGAGTTAGTATTCATTTACATCTTCTGAAGATGAGTTAGTATTCATTTACATCTTCTGGAGATGAGTTAGTATTCATTTACATCTTCTAAAGATGAGTTAGTATTCATTTACATCTTCTGAAGATGAGTTAGTATTCATTTACATCTTCTGAAGATGAGTTAGTATTCATTTGCATCTTCTGAAGATGAGTTAGTATTCATTTATATCTTCTGAAGATGAGTTAGTATTCATTTACATCTTCTGAAGATGAGTTAGTATTCATTAACATCTTATGAAGATGAGTTAGTATTCATTTACATTTTCTGAAGATGAGTTAGTATTCATTTACATCTTATGAACATTAGTTAGTATTCATTTACATCTTATGAAGATGAGTTAGTATTCATTTGTTAGTATTCAGTGTGACATTACATCTTCTAAAGAAATATATCATTAAAAACACATTTCATTTTTATTATCATAATAATTAATATTAATATTATTATCATAACTGCTATTATATAAATTATCATTATTATTATTGTTAATATTATTATCCATCACTATTATTACTAGTATTGTCTTACCATGAATTGTAAGCCCTCAATTGTGAAGTCCTTGGTTTCTGTCATGTGTTGGGTACATGGTAAGGCCAACAAATACCCAAGCTGTCGAATAATAAAGAAAACATTGTACTTACATAGGTGAAGGGTATGCCCTGTAGAGTGCAAAATAGTAATGGAATAGTGACGGGGTGATCATACTTTGAGCGATTTGGTCAGTTACGTTTTAACTGGTAAAGTACTTTATCAGTACTTCTTTAACATCATCACATGATCATAGCTACACCAAGGGGAGCCTCATCGGTGTTTACCTTTTTTTGTAAAGTCCTACAATCTTCTTATTAACCCAGGCTGTATTCGTTGGAGGTACATAATTATTAATCTAGACCTATGCTGTCCTGAACCCTCCTCTGGTTTCATGGCTACAAACATTAAAGGGATCGTTTAACAATATTCAATCTGAGATGCACGGCCCTACATGTTATCAGTGTCTGTGATATGGTGTTATAGTGAAGCCCTAAAGAGAAAGTGTGCTTCAAAATGATCAAGAAGTGCCTCAAAAAAGTAAACACTTTTGAGTGACCGGTTTTACCATACTATTTTTCCCCAATAGACTGTAGTGTTATGAAAACCGTTTGGCAAACACAAAATTTGATTTTGATTTTTCAATCATAAATATCTTGATAATCAGACAGGCTTGTAAAAGTCATGGAGTTCCTGACTGACCTAAAGGTTTATAATCATCATTGCAGGATGAGCTAAATCAAGGATTTTTTTAAGGATCTAAGACAAAGTTACTGGATCCCTTTAAAGTGTACCAATCACAGAAATACTGTTCTCCCTGAAGGCCCTGCAATTGCGCTTAATTCCTATAATTGCCCTACAGCGGATGTGGGAACATTCTTAATCATAAGGTTTAAATAAGAAACTATCTTTCAAACTATCTACCTGAGGTACATATATGATAGAACACTCTTCTATGTGTGGTCCAAGTCTATCAAGCTCTTCTCTGGCTACAGTTGTCATCAAGCTCGGTAGAGTGCTGTAGGTCCGCTTTCCTAGTTCAAGCAGCAATCAACAAAACATGATTTAAATTAGAAGAATTACTAACATTAGAGAAGCATGATGAAAGATCGCCATGAATTGAAAATATGAACTCAATAATATTGCAGTTGTAAACAATATGATGGAGCCTTCGTTATTCCCAAGTTCTTCATGCAAAAAAAAGGTTTTAAACGTATATCTCAATGCAACCTTTGGCCAAATGAAAAGGATGGAGTGGAATTTGCTTCTCTAAAAAGAAAAGGAAAAAAGATGCCCCCCAGCCATGACAGTGTAAATCACAATAAATCACAATAATTGATGAATATATATTTTTGGTAAAAGTATTTTAGTTAAATTTGTTTTGGGGTACAAAATTCTATTTGTGTCCCATCTGAAAACACAAACTCTGGAATAATGGGAGAAACTGAAACAAGTTTGGAAGAACCAATGAGCTTGGCCATTGCAATTTGATTCAAATCAAACATGCATTAACTCGAGCAAAATGGAAAGGATTTAACAATAAATGTTAATTATTATATGTACAGTATGTCAACTCTTCATTTGTTACAGAACCTTGTTAATTTTTTCCCAATGTTGCCTTCATTGCTTCACAACAAATTAACAAACATGCACGTGCAATGTGCAGATTTTACAAGTGCTTTAACCAGATAATGAAAATCACATAACACGTATCTATATCTATTTAGCTAAAAGTGAAATCAGAAATAAAATCACAATCACATTCAAATTGTAATGTGATTAGATATAATCTTACTTTGATCGAGTTCCTCATCTACATGTGGCTTCACAATGAAACGGTTCTGGGCAAACGATTCTTCAAAGTCCACCTTCGAATGCAAGATGACAAACAGATAAGGAGAATATTAATAACATTCACAAAAACAAACCTTAGAACTTACTTTTTCCTTAATTTATTGATTTATTTCTTGTGTATTCTTTATAAAGGGTACTCTATCAGGAGGGGGGGGGGGGGGGGGGGGGTTAAAAATCATTAAAAAATCCAAAGCATATTCAACTGCCATTTCACATTAAGAATTCATTGAGAAAGCTTTTTTCCAGAAAGTTTAAACAAAGTTAAAGCAAGGATGAATTCATTGTTAATACTAGAGAAATCTGACAGATTTAATTATCTTGTCATGACAATTATTTCAATTCATTTTGAACTATCATACACACCACCACAAAGAGGGTGCAATCATGACAAATATTTTATGATTGGCTTTTCTTTGTGAACAAAGATTTAGGAAGGTAATACTCAGTTTGTCCAAGTTTATGACTGGCCCCAGACTGACAACTGCCAGAATGGAAAATGAATTTTGCCCCATATGGCCCAAAATTGGTCAGTTTCAGTGGAGTTGGTTTGGAAACAATTTGGGGTTGTGACTGTGTATACTTACCAGCTGACTGATGGCTGCAGCAACTTGGTGGATATCATCAGTGAAGGCTTCTGTGATCTGAGGAATAAACAATAAATTCATTTCAAACAAAAATAAACAAGGGCATCCACATCCATTAACTTATGTAATCTGACGCCTTTTTTTGCATGAATTTTTTTTCATCTAACATATGTCTGCAAATTTGGTCAAACATCCCTGTCTCCCCCTTCAAATTATTTGCTGCTAGTCGAAAGGCTGCTAAGTACTGCATTGAAAAGTCATAGCTCTTACGGCCAGTTTGGAGGAAGTTGACAAAATGATCTAGCCCCATCCCTTGACACACAGCACATGTCCATTAAAATCTGATCTCAACTAGTTGTTTTTTTGCTACTGGGCTAAATCCTACCTTCTTGAAAATGGGTACATCAGCTCTCTGTGCTCGACATATCTCAGCAATATCGATGGCATTGTAGGCTGTCTGTACAGGGGAAAATGAGAGTTATTCATATTTGATTTGGTGTCTGTAAAATTTTTTTTTCTATCATCATCATTATCAGTAGTAGAAGTAGTAGTGGTAAAAGCAGTAGGAGTAGGAGTAGGAGTAGGAGTAGGAGTAGGAGTAGGAGTAGGAGTAGGAGTAGGAGTAGGAGTAGGAGTAGGAGTAGGAGTAGGAGTAGTAGTAGTAGTAGTAGTAGTAGTAGTAGAAGCAGTAGAAGTAGTAGCAGCAGCAGCAGCAGCAGTAGTAGCAATATTACTGTAATTATCATAATCATTATCATTATTAATATTATTACTATTATTAATAATATTAATAATGATTCTTTTAAAGACCGTCAATACTACTGGGCCAGAAGGGATTAGACCACACAGCGAGGTCACTGACAGGTGGCTATCTCATTAACTCAGCTCTCAACTAACATAAAAAAAGAGGATCGTGGGGGACCAACATGCACCGATTGGGGAAGTTTTCTATATAGAGGGAGCAAGTAGCTACAAGTAGGACAGTGGGGCTTTAATATTAATCCTTTTATTATCATGATCAATATCATCTAATCCTGGATACATGAACAGTCCTTTACCTTGTAGAGGGACTGCCAGTCTGTCATGGAGGCTTGTGCTTGCTGCATCTGCTTGAAGATTCTCTGAAAAAAAATCAAGACAAAATTTTAACCCATTGAGAACTTTTTTTTTATTTTTTAAACCGAACATGTGATGTAAGATCATATTCAACAAAGGAAGAAATAGACCTCAATCTAACAACCTTTAATTTACCAAGTTTTAGACAAAAGCTTAAGCTGTGCATCGGGTATCAATTTCATTGGAATAGGGGCCATTGGCTCTGATACGGGAGCAAACTGGTTTGTAATGTTTTGGGGTTGGGGGTTAAATTACTTAATTAAACAAAGATCTTTTTATTTTCATGCAGTAGTATACCTCCACAAATGGACAGTGAACATACAATTCTAATGACTACATGATCAAATGATAATATGCAATATTGAAGAACAAATACAAATACTCTCAGGGCCAACTAATCCTCTCGAAAGAACGTGTGGTGTTACCACGAACCCCAATCAAATCTATCCTCACCATGGAAGCCTTCAAAGATTAATCTAGTATATACAGTATAGTTAAACAGACAGTAATAATCAGTGCAAGGAATGTCTAATATAAAACACCAAAATGTGACTACTGGATTTGACAGTTTAATCATCTTGGTCACTGTTTAGCTTGCTGAAACAGATCATCAATTTTAAAAAAATCTTGCAAAATAGAAAATAATGAAGTATATTTACACAGATAAAAAAATAACACTAGGAGTAAAGTAAAGGCATCCTTGATGTGCAACTTTTGGTCAAATATAAAGAACAAGACAGAAATAATAATAATAATAATATTTGCATTTATATAGCGCTCATTACAGTAAATGTATCACAGCGCTTTACATATCATATACATATATAAGAATATCAATAACAAAATAACAATAACATTTTTGGATGCATTTTGAAGAAAACTGAACACATGAATACTTTCTTGCTTTGCCACCTACCGGAACATTCTTAACATTCTTGAGGCAATTCTGAAGTGACCCGGTGACCTCAGCGTTCTTAGGATTTAAGAAGAAAGAAACAGCTTCCTGGCGCTCTCGAAGAAGGTCCAGATTACGAGACGGCCGCAAGAACCATAGTCTGTAAACATATATCAGAGCAAACATGAAGCTTCATTAACAATAACATTTTTGATAGCAGCAAACCTTTACTTGATTAACTATTATAAATTTGAAATAAAGACTTAATTAATTTTGTATTTATGTACAATGATATAAAATTGTAAAATATATGAACAAAATTCAGACATTTACAAAATCGATGAGAAAAAGTGATGAAATATCAAAATTCTAAAATTGATTATCTATAACTGATTTATGAAATTAAAAAACATGAGTTTATTGCTCTATCTTCCAAAACGAAACAGCACCACCTCTTGTTAAAAATAGTACAGTCACTCTCCTGATATCTATATAATGTAAGAAGAGAATAGCCGATGAGTACATTTACCTCACTAGATGAACATAACATATCTGTCAAACCACTGACAACAATTATAATTCTGTAATTAGATATTAATATCAAGTAATTTATTTTTCATTCAACCTACAAGTGTTATAGAAATTGCTTCTGTCTAAATCTCACTATTAGATTGCAATGAGATAACCTAGAATAACTAGGAATACTTGTTCATCATGTATTAGTTTTGAATTACCCCATCTTTTGACCAAAGTCATGCAGGAGAACTCTTTTCTGAAAAAAAAATGTTTCCAATGCAGAATGACGGAGGAGTACAATGGCACTTTACAGAATACTACCTTCATACCTTTGTTTGTTTTACCTGACTGCTAAGAAAGCAATAAACAAAAAATGTAATTCTAAGATTTAAAAAAAAATGTTTTATCTATAAAAGAAGTATCCTAAGATCTACTACCTGTCAGCAAATATCACAGAAAATCACTCTTGCTGATTCCAGCCGATTGTTTTACAAAGAGGGCATAACAAATCACAGGGCTTTGATCTTGTACCAAATTTTGGATGAAATTTCTCTCTTTCTTACGGTAAATAAAAATGGGTTTAAAAAAAATCATGGTTAATCAACTGAAAGACTTTACAAACATCTTAAAATACATCCAATCAGGCTTTTTTTTGCCTTTCAATACAATGTGTATTCTTTTTTGAAGAAAAAAAAAATCACTTGTTCTACATTGTATTCTGTTAATATAAATCTATTGTAAAACTCATTAATTATATTTGTAATCTCACCAAAAAAGGATTAATATTTCCATTTCTTACAAAATATATATATTTTGTGTGTGTACACCACAAAAAGCCCGGCCTGAATGGATCGAGCTAATGAAATAAATGCACAGAAGCAGTGAGTGAATAAGCTCTGAAAAACAGAGAGCCCTGGACAACAAATGAGGAGCTCTAATTAAAGTTACCGGGTAAACAAAAATAATAATAATTAAACAAAATCACAATCTAAAAAATATCAAATGAACAAATGAACAAAATAACAATAAAAGAGATAAAAGTCAATGTGCTGAAATATGATTTGTTCTATAAGTCCACAAAGAACCTCACAAACAAACAAATGGTGCATTTTCAAACTCTTATTAAACCAATTCATAATTCATTTGGGTCTGGAGATGAAGTCTAAAGAGACGGAGGTAGGGGAGGAAGGGTAATTTTTGGCAGCATGAGCCAGCAAGGGGGATATCCACTCACCCCTGGTCCCAGTCATTAAAAACGGGGGAAGTACACTAATGAATGAAGCATGACTCACCTCAAAGAGTCATTCTAGCTGCGTGTTAAGACGCGAGACGCGGTACGTGACAAAGAAAGGGAAGAAATTAAATGAGGTGACTTGAGTCAGCCTTCTTGCATGGGCCTCCCCGGCTCAACTTTATCAAATTCTATGGATGACTTTATTTTTATTTTTTATTGATTAGCCATGCATATGACTCTTTTATAGATTTCTGCATATGGTCAAGTATTAACTTTTTCTTTTCTTCATATATCAAAAAAGTTTTGTTTTACCATCTTTTTTCTTCATTTTGTTTACTTTTGGTAAATTTTTAGTCCTGTAAAAGGAAAAAGGTAATTGTATTTGAAACAATTGCCAAGTGGTTTCTAATGAGGATATTGGAACAACTGTTTCAAGTGGAATCCGAGTTTCCAGTGGAAACTCAGTTGCCAATGAATTTCCATTGAAAACTAATAAGCCAGATTGTTTTTACAATGGAGAAATTGAATCTACTAGTTCCTGGAAAAAAAATTCTATTCAAAACAATTCAGTGGGATTATGAAATTATTTGACCCACGCATTTCCTGTGGAAAAAAAAGGTACAATAAGAAAGAATCAAATAGTTCAACGGAATCTAGAAAAGAAAAAGGGGAACAACAGTCACCCACCCCCCCCCACACACACACACACACGCATACACCCATGATTACCACCCCATGTAAGTTAGCAGAGCCATAGGCTTCTCTAATACCCTGTGGGTGGGTGAGTGAGTGAGTGGGTTGGGGTAAGTTTAAATCATTGTTGATGTTCTTTTTAATTGAACAAAAGTCACAAGAAAATTAAAAATACATGCAAATGCACAGGTATCAACAAATTCAACCTTAAGCTTAACTTTTAAAGGTAAATAAACAACTGTTTAAACCTAGCACAACCGCTTTGTACTTTGGAAAACAGTTAAGAAGTTAAAGTTAGTGGTTTGATTGTAAATCAGTAAGCAAATGAATCCAATTCATTATGACATTAAAAAGGGAAGTTTTATTACCCCCCCCCCACAAGTGATTCGAAAGCAAGACTAACAATAAACTTGTAAACTTTAAACATAGCAAAGAAACATCATAAGTTAATCATGAAATTCATGATAAAAAGAAAGTAACTAAACTTTACCTCATAAGCCTACTGCCAATGACTGATCTTGTTCTGTTCAAGATCCCTAAACATTGCAATAATTCATTAGCAAATAGGTGAAATATAATTCTATGATCAACATATCACCAGTTCATTATGAATTAAGTTCATCTTTTAACTCTTGTTTTAAAGAAAACTTTCTTTCAACTTTCCCAGTTAAACAAAAATGGACAGAAGACCAATCAATGATATACATGTAGATGTTAACATAATCTAAACTTAATCTGTAATTATTATTTGATAGATATATCTATAACTATTAATTTTCTCTCTTCTGTCTAATATTATTTGTTAATTTCTTATAAATACTTTTTTTTTCAGGGTCACTATTTCATTAATTCCTTAACAGTAAACCTACTTGTACCAATCAGTCCTTAATTACAAATTACAAAGTAGAATAAAGGAAACGTATGACAAACTTAAGATGATGCTGATGTTAGAAATTATGATTAATGCATTTAATAATGGAAATGATGATGATGGAGATGATGGAAGTTATAGTAATACAGTTGATGATTAAGTATGATCCTATTAATAAAAAAGAGCAATAAATTCCAATAAAGTTGTCTTTGTTATGGGGCCCTGATGAGAGAAAGATTGGATGGAGGGAACAAAATCTTAAATACATACAAAGAGTAAGAGAGGATGACAAATCTACCAATCATATTAGATACTAGATGCTAAATAACTTGAAACCTACCAAATAGACTTAGTCCCTCCTTAGCGCCACTGCCACCAGATTTATAGACGGATGGATGACTCTCCTTCTGGAAGATCTGAAGACTGCTGTATGTATTGACATCAATGCTTACCATATCGGACCTGAGACGGAGAGGGAGAGAGAGAGAGAGAGGGGGGAGAGATAGAGAGAGTAAGAAAGAGAGAGAGAGAGAGAGAGAGACAGAGGGAGAGATAGAGGGAGAGAGAGAGAGAGAGAAAGAGAGAGGGAGAGAGAGAGAGAAAAGAGAGAGCGGGAGAAGAGAGGACAAAGATGAAAAAGAAAGAGAACAAAGAGGTAAAAGGAAGAGAGAAAGATTTACGAGAACGAGAGAGAGAGATAGGGGAGAAAGGGCGAGAGAGAAAGAGGGAGGGAGAGAGAGAAAGGGGAGGGAGAGAGAGAAAGGAAGGAGAGAAAGGGAGAGAGAGAGATAGAGAGAAAGGGAGAGAGAGATAGAGAGAGAGAGAGGTGGGGGTAGAGAAAGACGGAGAAGAGAGAACGAAGATGAAAAAGGAAGAGAGAACAAAGAGGTAAAAGGAAGAGAGAAAGATTTACGAGAAAGAGAGAGAGAGAGAGATAGGGGAGAAAGGGCGAGAGAGAAAGAGGGAGGGAGAGAGAGAAAGGGGAGGGAGAGAGAGAAAGGAAGGAGAGAAAGGGAGAGAGAGAGATAGAGAGAAAGGGAGAGAGAGGTGGGGGTAGAGAAAGACGGAGAAGAGAGAACATAGATGAAAAAGGAAGAGAGAACATAGAGGTAAAAGGAAGAGAGAAAGATTACAAGAAAGAGGAGAGATAGAAAAAGAGAGTGGTGAGAGAGAAGAGTGAGAGAGATGGGATAGGTAGGAAGTAAAATATGCATGGTTTCAAATATAAAGGTTATTAAAAAGACCAATAGAATGAAGAACATAACAATTTTGACAATTTCAAAAGAACTAGACAGCTTTTTTCTTTTTTACAGCTCATACCACGGACTTTGCACTAACACTACCCCCAGTGGGGTGAACTTTATAGGGGTCTTCCCCTTACAAAGTGACGAAAGGGTAACAAGGCAGATGATTATGATTCAAGAAATTGAGAGGGAGGGGGCAAATACAAATTCTGACATTAGATACAGACGTTTACTTTCTCAATCTGTTAACAAGTCAACAATAAATGTTAAGAAAGACAGGAGGATATGATTGTGATGGCATTGTCTGTTTAGAGGCAGAAGGGGGGTAGCTTGTATACTTTTAACACATAGTTAACACCCTTCTGGCTCTCTGCAGAGGTTATATGTTTGGCAGGGAGCTCCTCTGTGATCTCAGTAGGGACTTCCCTTCATATTTGAGTGGTGATGATGAATGACAGCTAGGAAATGATCCATAACATGGGTTCTTCTCATCTCTCTCAGGCCTGTCAATCCCTCCCTCGGCCATCCCTTGCAGAGATGGGGGAGAGGTTTTCTTTGATTTTAGTGATGGCATCGATGATATGACAATTGATGGGTAGGTGATCATGAGAGAACAGGAGGAATAGAAGAGGAGGAATAGAAAAGGAGGAAGGAGAGGTAGGGGAGAGAGTGGGGGAGAGAGGGGAAGAAAGAAGAGGGAAGAAAGAAGAGGGGAGAAGGCAGGGGGTGTAGAGAGTGGGAGGGATTGTGGAAGAGAGAGTGGGATAGAGGGTGGGAGGAAGGGAAAATGAAAACTTGCAAGAGATGAGGTTTTTCATAGCAGGAAAGATGGAGAGAGGCGGGATGGGGGTATACATCTACATGTAGGGGAAAAAGATGAGATGCGAGAACATTCCAAGGACCTCAGAATGATGAGATCCTATCTTTAAACCTTTTTTAAAGATCTGTTCTGATCTTTCTAAGTGTCATTGATAAAGAACAATAGACGGTAATGCTAAAGTCTAAAGGCAAAAGTTGGAGGTTAAGAGTGAAGAAGTGCATGAGAGATAGGGAACAAGGCGAGAGAAGAGAGATAAGACGGAGGTATGAGATGGGGAGAAGAGATGGGACAGATATGATGATTCAGGGCAGATTACAATGACAAAGATGAAGAGAGCAAGACATGAAGGAAGAGAAAGTGAGAGAGAGAGAGAGAGAGAGAGAGATAGGGATACAGACAAGAGAAGAGGGATATGACAGAGGTATACATGAGATGGAGAGAAGAGATTGGACAGATATGATTTAGGGCAGATTACAGTGACAGAGATGAAGAGAACAAGCCGTGAGCGAAGGAAGAGGTAGAGAGAAGTGTGAAGAGAGTGAATGAGATATAGGGAACAAGAGGAGAGAAGAGAGATGTGACAGAGGTATACATGAGATGGAGAGAAGAGATGGGACGGATTACAATGTCAGAGATGAAGAGAGCAAGACTTGAAGGAAGAGAGAGAGAGAGAGAGAAGTGTGAAAAGAGTGAATGAGATATAGGGATAAAGACGAGACAAGAGAGATGTGACAGAGGTAGACATGATTCAGGGCAGATTACAATGACAGATCGAGATGAATAGAGCAAGACTTGAAGGAAGAGATAGAGAGAAGCAAATTCACAGAAGAGTACAGCAAATAGAGAGAAGGGGTATGCAAAGAAACAGTGTTTGGGAGAGATGGGCATGAAGAGAAATAGATAAATGAGGCTGATTAAGAAATTAACTGACATAAGAGTGTGTTTTTTTTAAATGAAAATAATAATAAGTCAGAAAGATGGGAAGAAAGAGAAATAAAAAAGGAGGCATGAGTTTGTAAAAGTTCTGAAAAGGTAAATCAAAAGTAATAAACGGCCGATGTTCAGTAGAGAAAGATAAAGAGTAACAGAAAATAAGAGAAAAGGAGAATGAATATGAATAAAAGAAAATAAATATATGCAGAGCGAAGGGGGAAGAGAGAGAGAGAGGGAGGGAGACAAGGAACAAGAGATGCACATATGGAGACACTGAGAGAGACAGAAAGACGGAGATGAAGATGGAAAGAGGAAGTCCATCCACGCTGGAGCAAAATGGGTTATTGATGAGGAGCATGCAAGCTGAGCCAACATCCCAACGGGGATTCCCTCTCATATCCCCTCAATCGTGTTGAGTGACAACGCGGAAATGATTTATAACGGATTCCTACCATCTCACGGAACCCAGCGACCCTTACTACAAAGGAGACAAAAAAAGTAGAAAAAACTAGCACAAATTTCTGAATGAAATTACCGCCAGTAATCTCCTCCGCACGCTACACTCTTTCCTTTTTGGCTTTCGAGTCACACTAACTTGGCCAAAATAAAATGCTGCCCTCGTATCCCACCCTGCCTCCTTTCCTCGTCCGTCAGTCACTCATTGAGTCACGCAATCCATCTCTAGAGTTCATAACCTTAGTTGAATGGGAAGCTATCTGCTGAGAGCCAGAAGGGCATTAATTCAAATTCCTTAAAAAAATACTAATGGTGTACCAAGATTCTTTTGATAATTTGCGGTAATCTCTTCATTTGCTTTAATTCTTACTAAAAACACCCTTCCCACTAAAAAAAACTGTCTGAAATGCCCCCATGTATGAATAATATGTGTTTAAAGGCCTACATTAACTACACTTATACAATTTTCTGCATTATTTATTCATAAAAAGTCATTAAAAGTGTTACTTCTATACAAAGATTACAAAGCTCTTACATAGCAAGAGGTTCGTCTATATTCAAAGCAAAGAAAGTGTACATGTATCAAATAACAGAATTTTTGCTTACAAATCATGCCCTCAAATGTATATTGATTGTGTCTAAATAAAAAGAAATATTCAATGCCACTACAACAAATCAGGAAATGGGAAACCTCTGTTGAGGCAGAGGTTTTTGTTCTTCTGCTCTCAATGAAACTTAGTTTAAGTGAGTCTGGAGTAAGAAGACTACCCCTTTTATGGGGAGAGGTGGAGAAAGAAGGAGGGGAGTGATGACAAAGTGAAAGAAAAAAGAGAGATGAAGAGAAAGACAGTAGGGGAGATGGAGAGAGGGGTGATGTAAAGGTGAAAGAAAAGAGATGAGAAAGAAAGGGAGATTGGGAGAGATAGAGTGATAGAGAGAGAGAGAAAGAGAAATGGAGAAATGGAGAAATGGAGAAAGAGAGAAAGAGAGAAGAGAGAGAGAGAGAGAGAAAGATAAAGCGAGAGAGAGGGTGGAAGAGAGAGAGAAAGAGAGATGGAGAGAGATGGAGAGAGAGAGAGAGAGAAAGAGAGAGAAAGAGAGAGAGAGAGAGAGAGAGAGAGGGAGAGAAAAAGAGAAAGAGAAAGAAAGAGAAAGATGAGGACAGTCTACATGCATGCATAGCTCTCACAATAAATCTTATTGTCATCTCAAGGATGGAGTAATAACTACTTTCATCTTGAAGGACAGGTAACCAGGATGGCTCTTAAACTCCCCCAATCAGATCAAGATGTGAACACATTAAGGGTAACCTGGAGGCAAAGACATAATAGCAAATAGAAATACCCCCTAGACTTTAGATTCTCATCAAATGATTGGCCGACTGCCCATCAATCATCTGCCGTTTCAAAATCTACATCATCAGAGGTTTGGAACTAGCCATTTCTTACAGATTGTTCAAATATAATGAGAAACAAAACCAGAAGTTTTTTTAAACCAACAAAGCTTAAAAATAAAGCACAGCAACAAAATAGAGCGGTCATTTACATGTAAACTTTTATCTGTAGGAGAGAGAGGGACTTGGTAAATGCACGTAGGGACGATTTTGGAAACTTAATAATCTTATGTTAGAGACCAAACCAGCATAGTGCCCCGTAAACGCATGAATAACTATTCTACATTACCTACATGAGGTCCCTCTGATACGATTGAGAGACTGGAGTCCACAAGAGATTAATACAAGCAAAACTAATTGCCTCCTTAGCACTACAGTAAAACTGTAAAAAACTGTGACTGAACCTAATACTAACAAAAACAGTTGGATTTAAACATTGCTATTTTCCCAGGATAAAAAGTCACAAATACTTTTCTTACACCATCTTTAGTCCCAATAATTTTATGTTATTATTAAAAGCATCTTCACTTCTGATGTGCTGTGAACTTAATTTCCCTGATAAGGCGTATGTTTCAATGAAGATCTTGGATAGTGAGACACACAAATAGACTATGCAATCCTTTCTTAAATGTAACTTGCAAATCCTGAAAAAGATGATTTTATTATCATTTGGCAGTTTCTTGTGTACACAAAATAATGTTGTGTAGCTCTTACAAGCACTCAAGATAATCTTTACAATTTTTAGTCCATGTAGTTTGCATATGTAAACAAACCACTTTCATTCAATAGCAAACAAAAGTGTCAACCGAAAATGAAACAACGTTGATTGGTGTTGTTGCCACTTCCTTGTTTTTCACCTGCATGCACAAAAACAATCCTTTATAGAAACTAAAAGACAGCACATATAGAACAAAAAAATTAAAATGGGTTTTTCCCGGTATTCCTAATCAAGGGACAACAAAGATCGATCAGTGTTTTTTTCCACTTCTTTTTTCTTCCTGTTATTGATGTTGTTGTGACCTTCAACTTTTGACCCAATTTAAATGAAATTAATCATCACTATCGCCAGAATAGAAACATTTTTACCAAAAGCTATGGCGTTGACCATCCAACCAAGCCTGTGGTTAAAAATGAATAGCCAAAATTTCAGCAATAATAATAATAATAATACATGAGATTTATATAGCGCCACTATCCACTTTAATTAAATGGTCAAGGCGTTTCAAAATATTAGGGAACACCTTACATCATGACAAAGAATCGTGTACATTAACATAAGAAAGAAAATGCAAAAAAATGAAAGAATGAATGAATGTCTGTCTTCAAAACGTGAAATTGAACAAATGGAACAAATAAAGACATCCCAGAGGATAATGCATTCCATATTCTTAATATTCTATGTTTAACCCGATGACCACTGAATTCTCTAATTCTCATTGACATAATACAGGGATCACCCGGTTCCAGTAAGCAGAGGGTTTATATATCATCTGCTTTGAGCCATAAGGGCGTTAACTCCCTATCATTTTTATAAAGGTACCTGCCCTTCTAGTGCTCTGCATACGATATACCAATAGCATATATCATATTCTATATAATAATATTAACATGCAGATTATGTCATGTATTGATTTTGTTATTGTTTGTTATTGCTATTTTTGTTATTGTTTGTGAAAAGCAATGGAGAAAATAAAATATCATTGAAAAAAAAAAATATCAGAACCTGCCAAAGAATAATGCTGCTTTCCATGTTCTTAATTTCTACAAAATATATTATTTCCTAAGAGCTAGAAGGAGGTAATCCATAAAACAATGTCCTTCTGACTGCCTCGGTATTATAATAAATGTGTTATGGATATTCCTGACTCATCAGTTCCTAAAACTGGAAGGAAACTTTGTTGGTGGTCAAGAATCATGCGGAAGTTTCACATGTTAAAAATAGTTTCTGCTCTGGGATTTCAAAAGAAAGATGATAAATTTTGAGTGATGATGTGATGATGGACTGTCAAGTGCATGTCTTAGTGATAAAGAGATAATTGAAAACAATCCATGCTCTACAAAATGTTGAACTTGGTGGAAGAAAAATTATCAAACGTGAACATCCCTCACGCAATTTTACTTGTTTTCTTCGAACCATCCATAATTTTATCTTTCTTCCTTCCTTTCTTAGCTCTGACATTTAAAGTGACACCCCCCACCCTCTCTATCTCTCTCCATCTGTGCCCTTCGATTTGTTCATGGAAGCGGTGACTCAATATAAGACCATCACCATACAAAGTAAAATGATATTTAGGAAACAGTGGTGAGGTTGTGTAGAGGTCTGTATGAATGAGGAAGTTACAAAAGAACAAAAAAACATTGGATAATTATTTATTTCAGGCATTGGTTTTGACTCACTTTCCTATTAAAATATTGGGATGTACAGCAGGAAACAATGTTGGTGGTTGGGAGATTCAGGAAATGCGATGTGTCATAAACAAGGCACAGAATATGAAGGATATTTTTTGTCTCTAATTTCTCCACTTATGAATTTCTTTCTTTTTTTCTTCCACTTTTTTCTAATCCTTATAGTACATATGGCCCCTTCCCCCTTCCTCCCACACTCCCCCTCTCTCTCTCTCTCTATCTGTGTCTCTTTCTTTCTATGTCTTTCTCTCTCTCTCTCTCTCTCTCTCTCTCTCTATCTATCTGTGTCTCTCTCTTTATGTGTCTTTATCTTTCTCTGTCTTTCTCTCTATCTATGTCTCTCTCGTTATGTGTCTTTATCTTTCTTTCTCTTTCTATCTGTCTTTCTCTCTTATCTGCTTCAGTCATTGGTTATTTGCCATCATGTCAAAAATGTCAATATAAATATATATTTTTTATTGTTGGGAATAATAATAATAATAATAAAATGAATTTTTAACGCCCTTGAGCTGATTTTTTGAAAATCATTGCGATTGGCACATAACCTTTTTTCCCCCTGACTTACAAGGAAAATGTCTTGATGTTCAGGACCGGACTGGAAACATCAGATCGCTCCAACTCCACTCCGATCCTCTTCTTCTCCAAGAACTTCAGAAGTCCTCCAGTGGCACGGATCTACAAGGATGGAAATGAGTTGAGATTAATCACATATGAAGGGAAAAAAAAGACTGATTATTAAGTATTAGGCGTCCCCTGTGCCTGAGAGGCGAACAGCGAACAAAATCAATGTAACCCTCGCGTCTCTCCTCTCGGTATGACTGATTGGGGTGTGCAGGTGGACCACTACACCGGGGTTTTCCCCTACTCTTGTGCGAATAGTGCAGTGGGTTCTTTATGTGCAAAGGTGGTGACTCTCCTCTACAGGGGGCTTCCATTTAATGTCCTATCCGAGGGATGGAAAATGATAATTGGCTAGTTTTGACCATCAATTTTATGATAGTAATAATGTTCTGTGTATACCATTACCATTACTATTGAAAATTTGCAAGATGGATCAAACTATCATCAGTATCATCATCATCAGTGCCATACTTATCGTTACATCAATTATAATCGACGTCTACCATTAATTGTGCGATTTTTAACACTTTAAAATATTGCACTTAGTCTTAAACAACAATTTCATATCCTTTTAGATAAGAGTGCTCGGAGTGAGAGATTGAATCTGGGTAAGCAAATAAAAAGGCAAAATAAATTACTTTTATGCATCATTGCTCTAAATTCTTGTGGGTAATACTTGGTTATTACTGCATTAAAAAAAAGACTCTGAAGTGATTACTATATCACCTTAATACCTCATATAATGCACTGGAAGTAGTATTCATCTGGTATTTTGAGCATCCTCTTTTCCACATATATATGTAACCTTTATCATCTCACTCTCCCCCCCCCCCCCCCATGAAAAAAAATTGGATCTTGTTTGGAGGAAAAGGAATAACGGGCATAAATAATAAATCTTTCGTCCTCGCTTTGAACAGGTTGACAAGCTACCCATAATCCTTGGCAAATCACTCAAAATTAGACATATCCTTGTTGAGCACGCTGGAAACCACAGGGCGCTAATCGCTCAACGGGATCTAGCAACGGAGACCTTATCCTTTTACAAACTAGAAAGAAAATCGGTTAGCGGGATATCATCTTTTTGAAGTGATGAATCAACGCTATTGCACTGTCAATCATGCTATAAATTGCTTATTGGCTTTACACAGTTATAAACTAATAAGATTATTGTTTGTTTTTCTTTATCTTTTAATAAAATCAATTATTATTGGACTTCACCTTGGAATATGCAGACAGTGACATCAGATTTCCCTAAGAACTATTTCGGGTAAGACCTAGTCATATTTGATTCAGGAAATCTTTTATAAAGAACATGATCATTTGAAAATGAAGGTGAATTAGGTTTAGTAATTTTCGGAAAAAGAGCAAAAGATAAATCTAAGAATGTAAGATTCTTGTGTATTGCGTGAGAAGTGGTTTTAAAAATGTGAATGACATATACTTCCATCTCCTAAAGAAAAAAACATATCTTGCAGCATATTTCTTTCCCTTCTTCATTCCTTATGTTTCTATTCCCAATATTTTATTGATTAACCTGCTTTTTTTCAAGACAATTTTTTAATTCATTAAAAACATTACCTATTTAGTTGCAACTTCTATTCACAATCAATTCTCTCTTTCTTCTGTTTTTGTTTGCTCCCCCCCCCCCCATATCTCTCCATTTCATCCCCCTCCCCCCTCTCTCTCTCTCACCCTCCCTCTAACTATCTCCCATTCTCTCTCTCATTTCCACTTCATCTCTGTATTCCCCCCTCTCTCTCTCTCTCTCTTTCTCTCTCTCCCGCTTCTTCCAATTTTGTCTATCTCTATTCGATCATAACAGCAACAAAGGAAGAAGTAAATCAGGTCTTCCTCTTTTAATATCTTCTGTCTTAGTGGGACCAGCTGTTCAGATTTCCAAGACTGAATCTTTTGCCAAAAAAATTGCTTCAAACCAACTCTTTTCCAGGGTTGCCGACATTTGCGTGTAAAATCCAATTAAATTGTGACATCTTATGGCAGGGCACTCAAACAAATAGGCAATGTTAATTGAATGAATATGCCTCGTCTCTTGTCAACCTATAATTATTTATATATTTCTTGTTTCAATTTATTCCTGCTTGTATTTGCTTTTCATCCATCTCTCTCTTGTTTTCCTTTTTCTCTTTCCCCTTATCCTGTCTCTCTCACATCTGCTTCTTTGCTACCTCTGATGAGTTCCACATTCAGATGAATGAATCTTTCTTCAAAATTATTATCATCTCTTCTCTTTCCTTCTCTTTCCATTTGACATTTTAGAATTTTTTTAAAATGTGTTTATTTTGGAGAACAATACCAGGTTACATTTAATCAAAATCAAAGTTTCCAAAGGTTTAATTGAAATAATCCTTTATTTCACTTACTTAATTTGTGATTTATCCTTTTTTTTGTTAGTGCCCAAAGAACTAATCCCATACAAAACTAGACAGACAACGAACAGTTTAACCTACATATATCATCAAAAGTTTATTCTTATTACTTTTGTAGTGTTACATGTAGAAACAAAATATTCAAAGTTGGATAACTTACACATCTCCATTCATCTCAAAAATTCTCTCCTTACAATCTATTCATATCACTTTCACTCGCCGGCGTGTCAGACTGACGTTTGCGTGTAAAGTTTCCATTAAATTACGCCATTCTACAGCGAAACGCTTCCTGTAATTTTGAGTGACACACTCCTGGCGGTTTAGAAATTCTTAGAGAGTGATCTAAAGGTTTAGTGGTCAGTGAATATGTTCAACTTCTTGTTTCATCACTTACACTATTTTAAAGGCATTAATACCTTAAAAATATTGACAATTTTAACATTTAGGTATAATAATATAATAGTTCTGTTTTAAAGTATAGATGATATTGATGTTTTGGGCAATGTATGAAAATATAATTTGCATACATGCACTTTTTTTTTCTTTTCCAAAAAAGGATAAAATCTAGCTGTTCAAAACTGTAGAAAAAGAGTCAAGCATATTGTGTTCTGAGAGGCAAAAGTCATTAAACTCTGATAAAAGCTCTTATTGCATTTCTAGCTCTTAAATGATGACATTAACATTAAAGTAGGAATCACCTGTCATTAAAGCTATTTATAATCACTTGTTTATAGGTATGCACTTTGATAGAATCAATTAACTAAATATAAATCACAGTAATTTGTTATCAAATAAAATTGTGAAATGTCAATCAAAAAGAATAAAAACATTGCAGTATCAATTATCCCTTGTGCTTGTAAACAGAATTTATCACCCAGGAGTGACCAAAATAAGAGAAATGTGATTAATTTCCTAGAATTTCCACCCTTCAATTAGGGGATGATTTGTCTACGGGTCATTTCTATCAGCTGTTGCAATCACATCAGAGACAGACGAAATGCAAGGAAGCAGTGTGAAAGGTATATCCCATCCTACAACCCATACAGATTAATGCATACATGCTACTTTATTTACCTTAAATTACAGTGAGTTATGCCACTTTCTGTTCACTATGAATGCCATTTTAATAAGTAATGTTATCTAGTAGTGATAATAATAGATATTATCTAAGTTTTCTAGTAGTGATATTATAGATACTGTCTAAATTTCTAGGGCTAACCAAAATAGGTGGAACGTTTGTCTTAATTTGTATATGATTTTCAGTATCCCTAAGCTAATTCATTAACTTATAAATAAACTCAAAGAAAATTACAAATGCATATGTATAATACATTCTTTTAGATGCTCAATAATAACATTATGCCTGAAATGGCAATATCCTTGTCCAACAATATAAGATATCTTTATGTATAACAAGACTATTCTATCAAAGTTTACTCTGAAAATTAAATAACACCTCTATTTACAAGTATTTCTTTCCTTGGCTCCAAAGAAAGTGAGTACATGCTTATAGCAATAAGTGGAGGGACTTTCATATTTACATCATATCTCATGGACGACATCATATCTAAATGAAATCAAAATTGCATATAACACAAGTTCCCAAGTACTTAATGATACCCTTGGTAGACTTCATATGTAATTTGGGCATTCTTTTAACAAGTTTTTAGAATATTTCTGCCCATAGTTCAGCGACTTCTTTCCTAACTAAAAACCCTTGGGGGTTTCCTTTAGATGTTGAAATAGTTCTCTGAATAAAGTTACAAGATTAATCATTTTCACGAAGCTCCAGTTTGGCCTGATAGTGTGATTAATGCGATGAAGAGTCAATGAACTATGGTATCCTTCACACAGTTACATGGAATTCAGCAGGATATCCTATTATTTTCTATCCATGGAGTGACAAAACAGAACTTTGACATAGATTTGGAGGAAAGAAATAACTATATCTTTGCCAGACACAGTAATATGATTTTCATATGGTATTGTGAAACTTGTGAAGATAATTAAGCCTTTTTTATGAAGTAAAAGTAATCATGTTATTACATTATCATTACCCAGTATCCAAGATGCATGTAACTTAAAGGCATCTTAAGATAAACTTGAATTCTGTAGACTGTTTTCATGCAATATTTCCGAATCCAACAATCTAAAAACATTATTCCTTTTCTTTTCTTTTTTCTTGCTACAAAATGTGTGAGTAATATCAGGCTTCCTTCTCACATAACTAACAATATTCATTAATTAGACTTGCAATATATAACATTTTTATATCAACATATCCTAAGAGATAATTACAATATTTTTGTCACCATCTTTTGACAGGGGGACACTCCTTTCTCATAAAACAGATTCAATAGTCATCAATTAAGGCCATCAGCATCCATGTCAGGATGTGAACATATCTTGAAGAGATAATAGCTGTAGCTTTGTCACCATCTTTTGATAGACGAACACCCTCCTCTCATAAAGAAATGCAATAGTCATCATGACAATCAATTATCTCTACATACGAATACAACCTAGTGATAATTACTTTAGCTGTGTTAGTATTGACTTGTTGTATGCTTAGATATAAACACTACCCGAAGAGATAATTACAGCATCTGTATCACGATGTTTAGAAAGTGAAACACCCCTCTACTCATAAAGAAATGCAATAGTCAT